CTGACTTCAAATGCAACGTTAACCTCATAGATGCAAAAAACACATCAGAATAGAGTTAACTGTGAAGGGGATGACTAAGAGATATCAAATGAGGTATGATCAGTATTGATACCACGTGCCTGCCCATTCTGCTAGTTTTGCTTCCTAACAACTGCGCCTTACCTTGCTCAGAGACTATCTATTATCGGTTATCAAAGCAAAGGGCACTTCACAAGGACATTACACTCGCTATCTGCCCACTCTCATCTTTCGCAATCTGTCTCAGTTAGTATTAACTCGTCCACCTACCCACTTCATCTTCTTCTTCACGCCTGAGCTTGCCCCTTGAATCTTCATATACCCCGACTAGTAGGGTGTCTGTTGTCAAGGAAAGAAAGATGCTTATTTCTCACATCCTCGTCCATGCAACTTTTGCCATTGGTGCCCTCAGCACGGCGTCTCATGCTCCCGCTGAGGATAGCATGGCCACAAAAACTGGTGGCACTGACGAGGTCGTCAACAATGCTACGCCATACATCATCAGCGCTGTTCCCAACTCTACGCTTCTGGCACGCGACGACGTTCCCCCGCACGACTGCGAGGACATCCTCCGTCGTGCCATCACGCCGGAAATCGACTGCTCTTACTCTTGGGAGAACTGCGGCTTTGACAACCATCTGGAGTACCGCATCCGTATCAACGCCGTCGGCAAGACGAGTCCCAAGTGGTGCGAGATGATGTTCCATTTGGTTCAGCGAGCCATCAACTACCATATCCGCCAGGAGGAGTGTGACCGGACCTATAGATCCAACGAGAACGGTAACGGGATGGTAGTCGTCCTCACTCTGCCCAAGCCAATCGCCAAGTTCGGCGAGTGGCGCCTCAGGGTCGAACAGGCCATCAAGGACAATTTCTGCGCCGGGGGTCCCGAGCTTACATATTGGGTCAATGAACGGTAAGTCCAGGCTCGGTCCCTTCTAGATTATCAGTCATGATCAGCCTACTGACAATTCTCCTGCAACCAGGTGCTACCGTACCAGCATTTGCCGCAGCCGCTGGTGGAAGCGGTCCCTCGCTGAACTCTCTGGGAATCTGCCCGAGATGATGTCTCCCGCCAGAGAGATAGAGCCAGCCTTCTTCCGTCACGCGGCTCCAATCACTGCCACAACCGTCTCCGTTGAGCCTACCACAACCAACATCGTCCCTCGCGATGAGCCTGCTCCCATCATCGTCAACCAAGCTGCCATGGCTGCCGACTCTGGTGTCCACGGCAAGGTTGGGGAGGACTTTGGGCCCGTTGACAAGTGCCCGGACCATACAGACGAGCAACACGCCTGTGGCAGCGTCGACAAGTCTCTCATCAGTTCCGTCGGGGTCCACTGCTTCTACGACCGTGGACAGGGCGAGAACATCAACCAGCTCGATTACAAGGTCACCATCAACCCGACCGGTCAAAACACCGCATGCTGGTGCGACCGCCTCCTGGCCGCTGTGCGAGCTCGTTGCCCCCAGGGCCAAGCCAACTGGGCCTACCCGCTTCTTAAGTGCAATGCAGAGCACATGAGCAACGAGCTTGGAAAGGGCATACACGTCAACTTTCACAGCAACGCCTGGGTTGCTGGCAAAGACAACCGCGAATGCATCAAGGCGGCCATCGAGTCCACTAATTGCGGCATCGCCACTCACTTTGACAGAGGCGGGTGCTTTGAGAATCATTAGAGGGGAGAGCACTGGCGTGGTTTGACCAGTATATCGAATTCATGATGCATGGTTGAAGACTGGATGTAGTGCGCACGCAGTAGTTAGCTTGCACCAATGTGGAGCGAATAGGGCTATGATGAATCCAAAGAGCCTTCCGGAGCACATGACTCGGTTACTTTCGCAATGTATCCGCAAATTGATCATCTTGTGTTCACTTATGGCTTTCGCGGCAAGCTTCACCATTCAACCACTGCTAAACTTCAAGACCGCATCGCTTCGGCACGTAGTGCAAGAAGACAAATATGGTTATATCTTTACCAGCACCTAGGTATATCCCGAATCTTGGTCCACATGAAGCAACAGTCCACTCATATACGCCGTTGAGTGATTGTAATTCTACCCCCACCATGCGCAGAAGGTGATGACAGGGATGTGACACGACATTTTACGAGTGCAGGTAAGCCGCAGTCATACGTGTTGATGTATTAAAGTCCCCGAAACACGACTCACAAGCCAATCTCAATAATTAGATCCTTGACCTGACGCGTCATGACGACCTGCCGCTCGGTAGTTAAAGGCTAGCTGGGGCAAAACTGTCGCCGCTTTGTATGCAAACTCCGCCAGGCGCGGCTGGGCTAGCTTTGAGGTTTTGAAATTGGAACATTGCGATCCAAATTCGATAAGCCGGCCTTGTGTTGCAGGTGTATGCGAACACGCCAGCTTTTGCCCTTTGTCGTGAAGCTTGGAATAGCTTCGTGTGGCCAGTATTATCAGTGACCGCCACTTGAGATGTGGCGTACCATCCGCACGGACTGTCTCGACTTGGTGTTTCTACCCATTCTCCGGTTCATAGATAGTTTCTTAACAGGACAACTACTTTATTCACAAAAGATTAGAGGCCGCGGTTCATCACACCCTTCATGTTTGGTAACTCGGCTAGGAAAACGAGCAAACACTGCCAAGCTGAGACAGAACTTACCGACATTTGACAAAGAACGTTGAAATCATCTGCCTGATGGCCAAGTGCTCCAAGTGGATACACAGCCAACAATCACATATATGTACACACACACACAAACACAGCTTGCAATGATAAGTCGCTTCTGGCCTAGCCAGTAACGTCCCACCACGGTAAGTGAGCACACGTGTTCATGCAAGCAGGGACCAATCGCCCTCATGTACTCAGAAACATCCCACACTGCAAAGTTTTACTAGCACTGCCGAGGACAAACACCCAAAGACCACATGCTTGGCGCGTGGGAGTGATCTCCACGTCCCGAGTCTCTGAAACCGTAACATGTAAACGGCACAACCACGTCCAGGTCTCATGTCGTCCCACTATGGGGCGCGACCACAGACGTGGTTTGCTTGCCATTTGACGGCCATCGAGAGGGGTGCCCCGGGATAGCCATCAATGTGATTCCCTTCTCCGAGCCCTTCTAGAATGTCAATCTTTTGACTCTGAGGAATAGCCTGCCGTTCAAATCCCGGGAAATTGAGAGATATTTTTCGACGTGCAGTGCATACCAGGGCGGCTTTGGCTCAATCTCCCCCGTGGAAAGCATACAGTTAATTTCCCTACTCTCACTCGGTTCTCGCCTTGGCTCACGTAAAATTTTGGGTTTGACAGATATGTCTCACGAGGTTGTTCTTATGTAGCGGTTTAGAAAAAATATACACTGGAATGGAGGTCAATTGCCGTGGATTCGCATGTCTCGACATCCGCCCTACACAAACGACAACAAGAAAGTCCTCTCGGGTTATAAAACCCCGAAAGTTTATCATCAAGATGAAAGCCCAGCTTACGTTTCGAAACCCTGAGACCTTGCCAGCGGATTCCAGTCCGATCCAAACGGGGGGCTAAGAACGTGGGACCGTCCTTTGTCGAAAAACCCCCCCACCAGGGGAGAGAAGGGCGGTCCTCTATCAGGTCGTCGTCGAGACGGCACCAGGGGATGGGAGATCTAGACCCGGGAAGCTTTCTTGCCCGTCGCGAATGGGTTTAGGGGCGGCACGGACTTCTGGGCCGGGCTCCTCTCCGTTAGGTCCGGTGACCGCTTCTCGTCCCGGGACGGCGTGCTGAACGGGTTCAGGGGCGGCGGCGGCGGGTTTTCGTCGCGCCGCTCAACGGCGTTCTCGTGGCCGAGGCCGCTGTGGAATCGGATCGGGGACCGCTTCACCTCGGGCACGGCGGCCGCGTGGGCCTGCTCGCGGCGGATGTAGTGGGCGAAAGTGCCAATGGCGTCCGAGGCGCGGGCTTGGAGGTTGGCTAACGGGCTGCGGGGTCCGATGTTAGCTTTGTCGTTCTTACCACCTCTTTTCCATACCACTGTTATAGAAATGGAAGTTGGAGACTTACCCTGATTCCACTGGGGCGGCGGTGACACCGGCCGCGGCAGTGACGATGATGGCTAGGGCAGAGAACTTCATATTGGATGAGTCTCAAAGCTGTGCCGTCGTTTGTGTGTTATGTATGTATCTTCGTTTGGGTGTGTGTATGTGTTTTGAGGTCGTCACACTCGTCCCGCTAGTGTGGCGATGCTCTTCGAGCCGGCGATGATGGGTTGGACGGTATAGAAGTGATCGGGCGCTTCACCTCCTTAGCGAGTTGCAAAGTATCTAGTGTTGCCGTATAGGTGATGTTATTGAAGATGGACGTTAATATCGAGCGTCTGTAATCAGGCACAGCGAAGCAATAGCAAACACAAAGAAAAGAAAACAGACGCCCCAGTCTCCCTTTATCTCTCTTCATCTCAGACAACGCCCCATCAACCTCCTCCACTCTCTCCTTTCTCAGTCCCCCCACACTCCTATCTTCCGGCGGCCCATCACAACACCTGGTAAAAGCCCCCGCTCTCCCCCCCCCCCGGCGCCGCATCCCGGCACCGCTGGCGGACGGCGTATATCCCCGCCGCCCTGCCTCGCACCGCTCCACCACATGGCACGGCCGTCCAGACCCGTACCCAGGCGCAGCATCAGATCAATGAGATGCCTAGAACAGGTAGGGGAGAGAATGGGGTCCGCCGGTTTCCCAGGGACCATCCCCGATCTTCCTGCTTGCGAAATGCGACGTATCGGGGAACAATTCGTGTCTAACTTCCACAAGCGCCGTTTCCAGAGTTTCAGCCCGCGACAATCACGGGCCAGCGTCCGGCACACATGGCGGGGGGTTCCCTTTTCTGCAGCCAACTTCCCTTCACCGGCGTCTCGCCTTGCTTCTCGAAGATTGTTCCACGGATTCCGCCGACCTTCTTCTTTATCCAGTTCTCACACCTTGGCGGGAATCCCTCGAGACTCAAGTAACCAGTCTTTCAACTTTTGCTCAGCTGGATCGTCAGATACTCTATCTACTACACATACGCATATACGCATGTCTACATACTGTATGTATATAGTATGTACACATCAATAGCTGTTTCTGCCAGCTGACGTCGTTTCAAGTTTGCCTGCTCTCCTCTGACCAGTCAAGACACTCAACGCCACACAAAAGCCACGCGGCTCGGGTCTTCAGCGTCGTCTCATCCTCCGGCTACCCCGATCAGCACCCCAGACTACCTTTCCCAGTCGCTCAACTCGCGACAAGTCCCCATCCTTTGGAAGCTGTGAAGCCTGGGCAGAGTGGCCCCAAGCGCACTGCCTCTGTCCTTGGCCAACATGTCGTCACCGTCAATCTGGGTTTCCCACAACTCCGAGGACCGCCAAGTTAGTTACCGCTTTACTTCCAAATAAAGCAACGGCAAGCAAGCCTCCCATGCGAGGAAAAGCCCCCCCCCCCCCCCCCCCCCCCCCTCATACACACACATGGCAGACTGCTCTACGCACGTCCGACCCCGTCATCTGAAGCACCTGCTCGTAGTCCCATCTACCCGAGCCGGTCGTGCAGTCGTACCAAACAAGTCATTCCCAGCCGCATGTTCGCGCTTTCGCGGTGGCAATGTTGTCATGCCGTCCCCTTTGGGAGTTGGGCCAGCCGCCCGGTTAGACTCCGAAACTCTTCTCTTGCACGAGTAGCATTCCTTTCCTGATGAATTCGGCTCTTGGATCGTTCTGGTGTTGGCGGAGACAGATAGCCCGTGATCGAGATCCATCCAGTCCAGACTGCTTGCTTTATCTCCGTAAGCCTCGTCCCGCATCTTGAAGGAAAGGAGTCGTGTTGCAAGAGAAGCCAGACTGGTTTTCTTCGCCTATGCTGTGCCGCACGTTTTGGCCGGGCGCCCCTCTCCCCACCTCTCACGGTGACTTTTATCAAATCCCCTCATAAGGCGATCACAGGAGGGCATGCTCGCGCCGAAAAGAGCATAAATGCCCGCTCGGCTGCGGCCTTGTTCTCTTATTCTTGCCCGATCACGGTCTCTGCCAAGTCAGTACCAGGCTCGGCATCCAAGCCCAGTCGTGTGCACCCCACGAATGCGGCCAGGGGTGCTCAACATCCCAGATCCATACCGATGCAGTAAAGCACGTCGGCCATCGAATCCAAGCCGGTCCCCCCTTTCGGCGGGCCCACGGCCACTCGGCAGTCTGTATTTGAGTCCCTAGGCCCTTTTCATCCAGATGCCCAATCGAGCATCTCATGTTAGTCGTCTCACCATTCTCACCTAACACCCCACATTGCTCGGCCATATCAAATCAAGAGTATTTCTACAAATGTTAAAGAGGCAAAGGCGGAGAAGTTGGTTTGCTTGTTTCTGCAGATGAGCCAGAGAATTGTCTCACGCCAAGTCAGGTGACGAGCACTGAAAACCGGCAGACGCCAAGGGCACGAGGTACGGCCATGAATAGCTACCTATGCTCTGGTATACATGCGTAGAGAGGCCCCTTACCGGTTCCTGGTCTAAGGCTGCTTTGCATCCAGTAAACTCACGCGTATCGAACCTCGTTGAAAACCGTGGCGCGCGCTTGGAACAGGGCTGCGAGCTCAAACAAAAAGGACTGGAGCACAATGACGTTGGTGATGACATGGGACACCGACGCTTTCCGCTCCTCTTCCGCATTTTCTCTCTTTGGAGTATTGACCTCCACAGCATCGTCACCGATCGGTCCCACCTCAGCGCCATCTGTCTGCTGCTCCGATTGTGGCCCCACGTCCTCCTGCTGGTCTTCTGCAGCCTCCTCGTCTCTTGGTGGCGGCATGTGCAAGGTCGGTTTCTTTCTCCCGAGGTTCAGCGGGATCGGCTCGACTTTATCGGGGAGCCCGACCTTCCGGGCGAGAATGCTCTGATCTATGGCTGCAAATGCGGCGGCTTGGCTGGCGACAGGATCTCTGGGAGTGTGCAATGAACCAGCTTCATCTGTAACACTTCGGCCAAGAGTGTCGTGGCCACCAGGCGTGTCTTTTGGAGGGGGTACAGGCCGAGATGTCGGCGTGGAGAATCCGTATCCGCCTGAAATAGTGCTCTGGCCCGGGCTTGCTGTGCTGGTGCCTTGGCTGTTCTTCCTTCCCCTGGGACTTGATCCTCGACTGGGTGTACTCAACTCCGACACCAGGCGCTGGGCAAACCGTTCCAGACCCGATGGACGCGCCGGAGACCCACTGCGTGTTGCTTCGTCTAGACTAGAGCGTTCCGGGGTGTGCGCTGAGCTGCGTCTTTGCGGGGTGACCTTGCGTGCTGGCAACGGCGGCGGCGGTGGCCGCGGGTTATCTGCCGTTTGGAATGCCTCCCTCCGCCCTTGGAGTAGATCTTCGAAGCGGGGAACCGTCTCACGATACCTCGCTACCTGGCTACACAGCCTCTGAAGAACGACGAGTATGCGAGGCAATGATGACTGTGTCCATACCGGACGTCGGCGACAAGCATCCAGAGACTCCAGAGTCTTCTGTTCGGCCGATGTCGTAGAATCAGGATCCGTCGGAGGCCTGAATGACGTGGCCGAGGCGTCAGGGGACATCGGGCTTGGCGGCTGCTCCTCAAAGCTGTATTTATGTGGGTTACGCATCAACCAGCCCTCCGGCGTCACGTAACCACAGATAGCCAGGTCCAGTATGGCCTCGGTAAGTGACAGGTTTGTGTCGACTGGATTGACGAAGAACGTCTCAAGAAGATCCAGCACCGAGTTGAGCAACGGGTCGTCCGGGCGGAGCGTATGCTCATGCACGTCGCGCGGCGCCCCAGGGAGTGTATCAGGAACGGCGGGTAAGTCGTGGTTTTTGTTGGATATCTTGGGTGCAACGAGCTTCAACGAGCAGGGATGGCTCTCAAGGCGGGACATGGTGTCTTTCAAAATGTTATCGTAGACCTCGTCAAAGTTGTCCTGCCCACCGATGGACCCTGCCAGACTCATGATGAAGTCCACCTCCTGTTCGTGAGCACCAACTGTTCTGTGCATCTTGTCTCCTATCACCGCTTCGGTGCGTAGAAGGGTGCTGACGGCATACCGGTGGTGCCTCCTGAGGATGGCCGAAACCAGCTGGAGCGTCACACGAATGGTCTGCTGGTTGTGGGAGCGCAAACAGGCTTGGACAAGGTCGACCAAATTGAAAAGGAGAGGGGTTGCTGTGATGTCGGACTTGGTTTGCGCCAGCATCGTTGCAAGATCCAGCGACTTGCGCTTACGAGCTGCACTGATGGAGGCACGGGAGCCAGTCATATCGGGGGAAGCGTGTTCCGGCAAGCCGAGGAGATAGTGGAGGATCAGGTTAATCATATCAGGGTGGTCGAGGGACTCGAGAATGCGACGAAGATAGGTCAAGACAGCGACAGACGAGCCGCCGTCGATATCGGACGACTCCAGCAGGGATGGGTATCTGGGCACTTGGTAAGCATGGAAACCGGTCACGTCACCAGCATGGCGTTCTTACAAGAGTTGCTGCAGGAATATAACCTGGAAGTGTTCCAGCAGCGTCTGCTTGACCTCGACCGACTTGCAGTGGTCCAATACATCCTGCCAGAAGAGAAGGTGGGACAAGAAGGTTTCTAGATGTAGTTGGAAGTCGGGGGAGCATGAGCTGATGACCTCAAAGGTAGAGATGGGATGTTGGTAGTCGGACAAGGCGAGAACAGGGGGGAGGTCGTTGGTGGGATAGTCAATGACAAGCTTGCGGCTCAGCTGGCTGTAGAGGGCCCCCAGGCCGGTTGCCATCAAGGTGGAAAGGTCGCTCTCAACGATCCACTGCTCCAGGGACTCGTCGCTCGATGCCGACTCGATGATGTACAGCAGACCTGTCCTAGCGAAATCTCCGACCTTGCCCTCGTGGTGGATGTAGTCCATCAGGATGTAGAAGAGGGGGAAATCCTGCCTCTGAGTTCGGCCAGCGAAAGCGTCGTGGGTGCCCAGTGAGCGATCGTGGGGGTTGCCATCATGATGGGTCCTGAACCAGGCGTGCAGGATGTCCCGATTGAGGCGGATCTTGGTGGTGATGTTAAAAGCCAGCTCGACGACCTTGGCCTCGGTATCGGACCCGAGACGGACACTGTTGACGCCGGTGATGCGCACGAGGAGGTTCGTCAGGCTGGCGGAGAA